AGGGAAAGGGCTGCAAGTGCGACCCCACCGCGCACACCCGCTCCACGCCACCAGCGCGGCCCTGAACCTACGAACCAGGGCGATCAGACAGGGGCGCCGGCTTTTTCCCAGCCTCGTGGCAGAGGGGCGTGCGCAAGCTTGGGGGACGAGGGGAGAGGAGCCAGAGACAGTGGGTCCCGCGGCATGGCTAAACACAGCCCTGCTTGCGGGCCCCGCTGCGGTCAGGGCTGTCACCTTTACCTTTCCTAAGTGATGGATAGTTTGGGCAGGGAGGGTGGTTTAATCTCCAGAAAGCAAGCCCGGGAAACTCACGGAGATAAGCTCTCCTGATTCCTCGCACCAGTTCCTTTGCTTCAGTTAGGCAAATGCATCTGCTTGGTTTCAAAAGCACGTTTAAAAAAAAAAAAAACCCATGCCCTTGCTGTGGAGAGCCAGAAAGAAAACACCATGATGACACATGCACGATGAGAAACACGTACTTTAAAGGACCAGGCGTGCGTGAGCAGCATTAACGTGCAATAGCCAACAGCAGCAGCAGGCTGGCCACCGCGCTGGGACACAAAAGGGGGGCCCTGCGGCAGCCAGCAGAGAGGACGGGAGCCGGGTCGAGGACCCCGGGGGGGCGGCAGGAGGAAACCGCAGCCGAGCCGTCCCCCAGCCACAGAGCGGCCACCGGACGCCGCCGGAGGAGCTGGGTTTCACGTGGTCTCCGGGCCAAACCTTGGCCTGGCCATGCCTCCCGCTGGCTCTGCGCTCTTGGGGACGAGCTGGGCCTGGAAAAAAGCCCCAGGGGCCCGTTCTCCCATGCGGTCACCATGCCGAAAGGGGTTTCGGAAACCAGTTAAGCGCCGTCTTTAAAGCGGCCGGGTTTCTTGCTCTCTCTGGGGGAGGCTGGATCAGGACCTGAACTCGCACCCTAAACGCAGGCGCTGCCTGTGCCTATCTGTGTGCTCTGGGCAAGCACCAGCTTGGGCTTTAAACAGGCTGCCCTTGCTCTAGCACAGAGCAGCAGCTTTCGGTCTCCACTCCCATGACACCTCAGGGTGCAATGGCACCCGTGCTTCCCCTGGATTACCCCTCCCTCCAGGCACCCACAAAGCACTCCAGGTTGAAAAGCTTGAGGCAGAGCAAGGAAGTCCCCTCGCAGCCTTCGCTTCGCTAGGCTACACTGAGCAACAGGCATCCCTGCTCCCTCCTCATCCTCACCTCTACCTATCGCCCAATGGGGAGAGCGGGACTTCCCACATCCCAGGAGGCATCTCGAACCCAAACCAGGAACCGATTCCAATGCGCCGAGAAGCCCGAAAGGCTGGCGGGCAGGCGTAGGGGCTCCCTTGGCTCTCCCTATCCAGGGCGGGGAGAGCCGAACGCTTCAGCATCCGTACCCGGCCGAGACCCTGCGGTCCCTCCACCTTGTGCTGTGCGGCGTGCCGGCTCTGCTCCGGCGGGCCCCCGTGCAGCCGGCCTCCCTGTCCACGTTATCCCAGTTGCTAAGATACCTGGAAGCAGCTTATCGCGCCATCGCCGCAGAAGGGCAAGGGCTGAGGGTTTATTGCGCAGAGCAGTGTTTGCTCTCTGTCCGCCCCCGAAACCGAGCAGTCTGCTCCCAGGAAGGGACGGGGCCGACGTTCGCAGGAGGAGCCGGGGCTGGCAAAGGGTCGTCCAAAGCCCCCTAACGTTTCATCACGCACCAGACCCTCAACAGCACTTCCAGGGCTGTCGCTTTGGGCTTTAACGATGGCGAGGAGGCGAGCTGGAGAAAAGGACAGTTTGCCTTCGTCAGTCAGCGGTCCCCGGAGACCCTTAGATGGGAGAGGGGCTCAGAAGCAGCATCTCAAACAGCTGAACAAACACAAGAAACAGCGGGCTGCGTTTGTTGGGACTTGCATTTACCATCCCGCTCTTTGCCCTACGGCAGGCGAAGGGAAACACATTGCAAAAAGATGCTGGTCTTTGCCGCTGAGAAGCAACGGTCTCCGCCAACTCTCAAGATCAGATCGCCCACTAGGAAAGAATTCCATTGCCAGAACAAGGACGCAGCTTTCCAGATGCTACCACACCCGTCCACACTCGCTCATGCCTTCCTCACCGAGCCAAAAGACACACCGGCTCCGGGGGAGCCCCCCCC